GCTACTCACAAACTACCACTAAATATAACTCCCTTTCAGATTTTTAAGAGTAAAATATATATTCATACTATATTCAAAACTCTATGGTAAATTATTTAAGATATATGAACAAAATTAATGCAATAATCACATAATAAAAATCTGAAAAGTAAAGTAGGCAACCGAAAACCATCATATTTGTATCCGCCCCCATTCTGGATCACGGCTGTGTGAAAATGGTCTGTGAGCCAGACACAAAGATGCACAGCCCTGTCACACAATAAATACTCCAGGTTTCTTCGCAAATATCTCTCAGGAGCAGAAGAATGTTTAAAGTTTGCTACAGAGCTAGATTTTGAGAGGAAAATGTTTTGAGAGCAACAAAAGCACAAGAGTTCCCACTGTAGGCTACATCCTGGTTTTATTGTACCACTATTACTGCAGAAACCCATCTGATCTTGACCATTTTAATTACAAGGAGTCACAGAACCTATTTCACATCTGCTCACTGAGCCTGAGATATGTTTTATAGTGAAAAGGAAATGAAAAGGACCAGGAATACAAATGAACTGAAACACAGGCAGCTAATAAATTCCTCCTTTCCTTAAAATCAGCTCTAGTTCTAATAATTTATTGTGAAATACATTTAGGTTTAGTCCACAGTAATTTTAATTTAAATAAGTACGTCTAAATTTCTCCCATCCTTAATGCTAAAGGATATTTTTTTAAATTATTCTTTAAGCATTTTGCCAGCAATGTGCTGAATGCTATTCAATTCAAGAATGAAAGCTATTGCATTATATTCCAAAATGGTTGGGGAAACCTTTGCCATAACTCTCAAGTTGCAACATGCTAGATATTCATAGGTTTTCAAAGCTGCTGGTTGAAGATATAATGAAAGGATCTAAGGTTTATGCATGAATCAGCATCCCCTTGTCACAATGTCATGGTGCAGTGATCCCTGCAGAGCTGTAAGACTTGATTTAAAACAGGAAAGCTCAACACTGGCTCTTGAGCCAGCAGGATTAAACATCCAAGACTGTACATATATTACATCTGTGCTGAAACTACTGTACGAAAAACTTCTTACACTTATGGCAGTTTTATAGTACTCCATAGGAAACATCTCTTTAGGCGACTCCCAACATCCTTTCAGTGCTAAAATATGTGAGTACACAATATAACTACCCCTGTGGTTGTTGAGTAGGCAGACTTAAGACAAAAGGATTTCATCTTCATCAGTTTCCTCCTTTCTTGTTCTGACAGAATTAAGAATTTTTTTTAAATTTGATGTTGCTGACACTCAGCACTTCTCCAATTAGACTAGACTCAATCACACCGCGATGAAGGACAAAGTCCAGTGGTTTGGACCCCTTCCAGTACTGCCCTACGAATCACCTCCAGTGCTCTACCTTTGCTCCACCTGTTAAAGCCAAAGAGATTCTGTTAGAGGGAACCCCTTTGTTAACATTTGCCTTTATCACCTAGACTGTAATTCCCTGAATTATCAAGAATTGTCAACCAGGGTTAAGCCTAGCCCGTTTCTCTTGAAGGGTGAAACAGCAGTCTTAGCAGTAAACATTGCTCTTAATTGTGCCATTAGTCCGAAAAACACCTGTACCACCTCTCAATCAAAACCATTAAGCCTCCTAGTGACACTGACATGTGAAGTGTCAAACGGCAATTAGATCCCAACAGCTATTCCCCATGACCTGTAAACATAGCTTTGCAAGAGTTGCAACAGTCCAACAAACTAAAGCGACTATTTGTTGTGGCTATTTTTCGAACACATATAATTTATATATATTTCTTTTCTGGCTTAAGTGAAACCTTGGTCAAAATCAGTAATTTTGGCCCAAATTGATGTTATGTGACGTGTCATGACACGGTGCAGATATAAAATTCCCACTAAAAATCCATTATGAAAAGGGGTACAGCCAACTGTCACCCATATCAGGGTCTGGTATTGACATGTGTCTCCACCCACTCTACATCCCCTGGGTTGCAACCAGCGCGGAGCCTTATGGTGGCAGCACATAGAGATCAACCCAGGCTTGCCCCTGACTGGCAAGGAGGTGTATGCCCCATCCTGTGGGGCTCCCTTAAGTCTTGACAGCACTACCTCCCAAGCTGCTGTCAGACTGCACACAGTGTTTCCACCCTGTGGGTAAAAGGCACTGATAGCTTGTGACATGAGCGCCACATTTTAACGTGAGCGCCACATTTTAATGTGAGATACTATCAAGCGGGAGATGAATCCACTCGACAGGGCGAGAGTATCCATAATTCCCACACCGGCGCTAGGCTACCTACTCACTGTGTGTCCACTCCTCTGCTACACAGTGGCGCCCCAGGCACTGCAGGTGCCAGGTTGGGACTGGCAGCTACTCCATCTGGGGTGCAGGGCTGCATCCTGCCTATCCCACACAATCATCCTGAGCTTCTGCAGCCTGAAACAGGGCTAGCTTGAGGGGTTAAATCAAGAGTCAAAATAATTCGGTGGTCGATTTTGGGGCAAAGAAAGGTCATCACTTCTATTATGGTATAAGCCTGCCACTACATTTTTGTGAAGGAAAATCACCTTGCTAGAGTGAAATACCCGGGTAAATACTGAAGCATTTTCCATTTCGTATTATCCTACATTTCTGTGACCTTTGTTTACACCTGCATTGTTTGATGGTGCTGGTTTTGGACACAGATTCTTTGCATACTAAAAGAAAAAAGAACAAAAAAAACCCCAAACAAACCAAACCTCTCCCCCCAAAAAAACCTAACAAAACCAACCTACAGAATGTTTAGAATTTCAAATGAGAATAAGCATAAAGGGGACAAAAAAAGATGGATCCTTCTTAACCATTTGTGAATGCAGTGCTCTGCAATCAACTCCTAATTCTACTTGTACAGCAAATATTTGTCTTCAGAACTCCTTGTTCTCCAATAAAACCCTCTTGGGAAGGTAAATGAGGAGATACCATACATATTTTTAGCATATGCTTCACTAGTCAATTAAATCCAATGCACAAAATGACTAAACCATCAGTGGTGACCAAGGTGACAAAACAACAAGTAGATATTCACAAATTAATTTATTGCTCTTCAAACTGCTTGAAAACTGAAGCCTTGGACAAGGTTCAGACAAAGGGAAATCCAAAACGTGGATAGCATCTCCCTTCTGCTGGAAGTCTCCAAGTCCACCACTGCAGTCTACAGCCTATACATATCATCCAAGTATTGTAAAGAGTTCTCCAAAGATGAGACAAAGGCTAATGCAAGCACACAAACGCTGATTAAGAAAACTTGACAGGTTTGGACAAAAAATATGCAACCTTGACCTTCTCAAAGACGAGGTGGCAATGCTTGTCTCTAATACTAGTAGAAAAAAAAAATCTGTGTTTTGCACAATTTTCAGGATTTCATTGTCTTCAAAGAATTGAGAAACACAGAAAAACCCGTAACATTTTTGTAGAATTCCATCTAGATTGCTACACTTACTTCACAAACAGGCCCAGTAACATAATCTGCAAATAGGGACCACATGCAGTTCTAGTTGATGTAAACCACCACTACCTAAGAAATCCAGAACTGTCCAAGCAGTTTGCGAAGATTAACAACGTAGCATTACTGTGGCTGATTACATGGTCTGACCTTTTCTGCCTTCAGCTATGTATGCCATATTCTCCTATCCTCACACATCCCATTGAAAGCTCCTTGCGTTGAGCTCTTGCACCACCTATCCCAGCGTCTGTGCTGAGCCGCCCCTTTTCAGCACCACCGCACCTACCATAACGTAGCTGAATCGGGGAAGGGGGGGAAAAAAATTGTCGCCAATGGAAGAAAACTGCCCCGCTGACAGCCCCGAGATTCAGTGTCCCCTACGTCTTTTTTCCCAGGAGGCACGGGAAAATGCCTCTGGGGAGCGCAGCATGGGCGGCCGATGAGCCGCGGCTGGGCAGAAGCGGCCGGCACGGCACCGAGCGGGCTCCCCACTCCTCGCCGCGCTCGCCGCTGTGGGGACCCCGGTTTCGCTTGAAACGGACACGTGTGGCAGGGAGGGCAGCGGGGGAATGCCGGGCGCCCCTCCTCGCCCTGGGAACGCTGGCCTCAGCTCACCGCTCTCACCACTGGCACGGGCAGCGCCCGCAGCCCCTCGCTGCGGCTGCCCCCCACCGCACGCCTGGCCAGCCCCGCCGCGGGGTCACACGGCACCCGCCGGGCCGCGGGCGGGGGCAGCCGTCGAGTGACAGGAGGCAGCAGCGAACATCGCTGCGGGACCCGCCGCCCCTCCCGAGGGCTCCTGTCTTCGCGCTACCACGACCGCGCTGCCCCGCCCAGCCTTCCCCATCGCCTGCCGAGCAACGCATGTGCCCCGCGCCCGCGGCACGCGTGCGGCCGAGCCCGGCCTCGCCGGGGGCGGAGCCCGGGCACAGACCCGCCGGCAGAGCCGCGGGGGCGGCGGGCTCCCGGCGAGGCCGAGCGGGCGCATAGCGGGGCCTCCCACGAGCGCACCAAGCGGGGGTGAGCGGGCGGCGAGATGGAGAGATGGAGCCCGCAGCACCGTGCGGCGTAAAATGGCTGATCGCCCCTCAGCCGCCCCCACCGCACCCCCTCGGCTGCTGTCGGGAGGGGGCAGCGGCCCTGCCCGCGCCGGTAACGAGGTGGCTCCGCATCCCGCGGGCAGCCCCGGGGCGGCGGGGGAGCGCTGCGGGCGGCCCCGGGGCCGCGCAGCCTTATGTAACGTGCGGGGAGAGCCGCCGAGAACCATTTTACACCTCCCGGAGGGCTGGGGGGGCGCACGGAGAGCCCGCGCCCCGTTCCCACGGGGCCAGGCGCTCCCGCACCCGCCCGGAGGCGGTGCAGCTTCCCCCCGGCACCGCACGCCCCCGGCACCGCACGGCCGCACACACACACCCCCTGCACACCGCCTGCATCCCGCATACACACCCACCCACCCACCTTCGCCGCGCCGCCCGCAGCCGCCCCGCCCCCGCCGCCACGGCAGGCTGGCGGTGCCCGCTACTCACAGGCGTTGGTTACGGCGAAGCTGTTGGCCACCTCCAGGTTGTCGATGTGGGGAGTCAGCCTGAACTCCGAGGTGGAAAACTGAACCATCCCTACCCGAAACGCGCTGTACTCCTGATCGGCGCCCCTCGGGAACAGCCCCCCTGCAGGGAAACACACACGCGTCAGGCGGGCGGGGGCCCCGGCGGAGCGGCGCGGGTGCCCCCTCTGTGCCCGGCGCGGGGCTGGGTTGGGCTGGGCGCCGGTGGGCGCCGCTGCCGGAGCGACCCCGGTGGCGGGTCCGACCCACGCCTGGGGGCGCGGGGGCCGGGCGGTGAGGCCGGGGGAAGGCGAGGGGACCACGCTGGCGCCTGGCGGGCACCGCGGTGGGACTGGGTACGCGGCGACATGACAGGAACGCCCGAGTGACACCGGCGGGGATGAGGGATCGGGAGATCCGCTGGCAGGAGGGGTCCCCCCCCCGCATGCGGGCACCTACCGATCTGTATGCTGTTAGAATTGACCCCCCAGATCAGTCCCCACAACACAGGAGCCAGGAAGACAGAAATATGCATAATCTTTTGCATTTCCAGGAAAAGTAGAGCATCCACAAAACCACGGAAACAGCCCTTTCTTCTTCCTCCTGCTTCTCCTCCGCGGAGCGCGCTCGTCAGCAAATTAGATCCCGTGCGCTCCGGGCGAGCGGCCGGAGGGAGCAAGCCAGCCGCGGGAGGGGAAGGAACGAAAAGAGCCCCGCGGCAGACGCCGGAGAAGCCGCTTGTACGAGCTGCCGCCGCCGCTCCGGTGCTGCTGGCGGCTCCGGCGCTAAGCGGGATGGAAGGGATGGAGGTGCCGGCAGTGCCCGCTGCGCTCCCGCCGCCCGGCCCGGCCCGGCGCTGCCCTGGCACGCGCTCGCCCGCGCTCCCTCGCACTCAACGGGCGGGCGGCGCACCGGGCGAGGCGGCGGCGGCGGCGCCTGCGCGGTACCGAGCCTGGCGGGAGCGCGCCCGCCGCGCCCCCTCCGCCGAACCATGTACGGACAGGA